TGACTTGCAAATCAAAAAGGAATCCTATAAAAAGGGGAAACATGGACAAATTGCTGAGGAGGACTATTAGGGACAAAAAAGGCTAAGTCACAAAATGTATTACACCTAGCCAAGGACATAAAAGAAGAGGTTCTTTAAATACATTGGGAGCCAGAGAAAGATGAAGGAAAGTGTACGTCTTCTACTTACTGGGGAAGGAGAGCTAATAACTGATGACATCAAGAAGGCTGAGGTTTTTAATGCCTATTTTGCTTCAGTCTTCAGCAGGACTACTATGTCCAAATCTGGGTGCCACATTTTAGGAAAGATGTAAATAAATTGGAGAGAGTCCAAAGTATAGCAACAAAAATTATAAAAGGTTTAGAAAACCTAACCTATGAGGAAAAGTTAAAAAAAACTGGCCATGTTTAGTCTTAAGAAAAGAAGACTGAGGGACCTGATAACAATCTTCAAATATATTAAGGGCTCTTATAAAGAGGATGGGGATCAACTGTTCTCCATTTCCACTGAAGGTAGGACAAGCAGTAGCAGGCTTAATCTTCAGCAAGAGAGCTTTAGGTTAGATATTAGGACAAATGTTCTAACTATACGAGTAGTTAAGTTCTGGCGTAGGCTTCCAAGGGAGGTTGTGAAATCCCATCATTGGAGGTTTTTAAGAATAGGTTTGACAAATATATGTCAGGCATGGTCTAGGTTTACTTGGTCCTGTCTCATTGTAGGGCTCTGGAGTTAATGACCTCTCAAGGTCCCTTACAGCCCTACATTTCTGTGATTCTATGATACTGACTGATGGGAACCACTAATGGGGGCAGAATTGTTACTGAGCTGAGCAAAATTCAGAATTTCCTTTCCATAAGAAATTCCATCATTTCAACATTTGTTTTCATCTTGAAACTGGCCAAAAAAGTCAAAATGCCAACATTCCAAAAGAAATTGATTGGAAATGTCAAAACATTTTGTTTAGACAATTTTGATCAAAATGAAACATTTTGACATTCCTGATACTGACGTGTTTCATTTTGGTTTGTTGAAATGCATTTCAACATCAAATTGCATTTCCCTGTTGCCTTATGGGAAATGTATTTCTGCTCCCACCCATTCTCTCAAGGCTCCATGGCCAGATTCTCTCTTTCAGGAAGCACTAAAAATCATGACTCCCATGATGCACTATGAGAGGAAATATAAGTCACTTTTCCCCCCTGTGTCTCAGTTTCTCCATCTGTAAAATGGAAATTATGATGCTGAAATAAATGACCTCCTTTGTCAAGGGCGTTGTGATGTATTGATGAAAAGCATTATATAAGAGGCTATTAATTATTATTAATTATTATTATTGTTATTATTTGTTTGTTATAATGGGAGATGTAGTCATTCAGGGAGTCTGGTCCATGGGAGGGAATGGGGGCCAGAACTACAACTCTCAATGCATCATAAATAAATGCAGTATAATGCTTTTTGAACTGATTTAAAACTAAGTGTTTTGGGTCCTCTTTAAAAGAGAAAGGAAGTATTCTAATTCAGGTCAAACTGAGCCAAATGAAATATATTATTTCAATTTTCCCAACAGAAAATCAATCTTTTTGGCAAAATCAAAATCAAAATTTTCGGTAGAAAATTGAAATTCTGCAAAAACTACCTTTTATGTCGGAATGATTTGTGATGGAAAATTCCTGACCATCTTTATTTAGTAGTATTATGGTAGCACCTGAAGGCCCCCAACAGAGATCAGGCCCTCATTGTGTGAGGCAGTGTATATACACATAGTAACAGACAGTCCCTGCCTCAGAGAAATTACTGTTGAAATAGGTATGATAGATGGGGAATCAGAGGCACAGAGAAGTGAAGTGACTTGCCAAAAGTCACACAGCAGGTCAGGGCAGACAATAGACATCAAGTCTCCACCCTGCCTCTCTGATGGGCAGTGAGTGGCAGGTGGGATTATAGGAGAAGAGTGAGCAGGAAGCCCTGTGTGAGAAGGTTTAGAGGATAACAAAGGTAATAAATAAGGAACTGGGACTGGAGGCTTGGGAGTCAATGAGAGTGGAGAATTAGTGTTTGTCAAAGAACACAGAACAACCGGAAGTAGAGGCTTTGTCTGTAGTGGAGGAAACCCTAGAGGTCAGTGGCCCAAAAATGTAGAAAGCAATAGAGGGTCCTGTGGCAC